TAAACACAAAGACAGACAACATACATCACACCAATATCGCTAAACACAAAGACAGACAACATACATCACACCAATATCGCTTAACACAGACAGACCAGATACATCACACCAATATCACTTAACACGGAGGCAGACCAGATACATCACACCAATATCACTTAACACAGAGGCAGACAAGATACATCACACCAATATCGCTTAACACAGAGACAGACAAGATACATCACACCAATATCGCTAAACACAGAGACAGACAAGATACAACTCACCAATATCGTTTAACACAGAGACAGACAATGTACATCACACCGCTAACACTTCAGATTCAAAGATAGACAATGAGTATTGATCTTACTATTAACACTTATGACAAACAAACATTTTTTTTTATCGACACAACCCACGAAAAATGTACCCCCCCCCCCCGGCAATATTTCTAAGCCTCCAGCTGTACCAAGCGCCTTAGAAGTTAAAAAAAACACGTACATTAAAATCGTTGTCCAAAAATGGTGAGGGGTAACAGGATTTGACCTTTTTTTCAACCTGTAACATTACACTTCGGCCTATACACGTGAGTTCAACCAACGTAAGGACTTTTGTAAGTACAAAATAGGTTCGTCGTGCAGTAAAATATACAATTTACTTTTGGGGAAAAGAAACAAGTACACATTATAAAACCATAATACATGATATCAATAACAGTAACGACTAAATCATCATCACTAACACTTAACACAAGAAACTCTAACAGAGAACTTCACAGGGTTCAATTACTACCTACTACAAATAATTTAACCGTGATGACTCAAAAAATATTCTTTTTTTGCCACGAGATGGCGTAAAAATAGTTGCTATAGCAGTATAGCAGTATGTACCACTTCACGGAAAATATTCCAAATAAAAGTATCTTATCCATGTAAACATGTTGATTTGATACTTAAATACCCTACATCGGTTCCTATATATAGTAAAAGGCTTATCTACAATTTTGTTCAGTGTCCAGGAAAGGCCAACATACATGAAATAATTGTTTTATTCAACTTTCCCGTTCTTAACGGACGACACCTTGTTTTAAAAACCTGCTGTACATTAGAGATCCGTATACAGTTTCATATCCAATGAAATATCCCGACACGGCTTGAGAACAGGTGATTCACGAACAAAATAAAGACCGTGCTTAATTCTAGCACCTGAGCGTGATTGTATGCTCTTTCTTAGCGGAAGTAAGGTTACCACAGCCTGGGTCAATCGGCCAATATGTAGCTGTATCTCGATGACTCGGAATGTGGGAGAACAACCGACACGTACAACCCTTGCCCTCAGGGGAATCACAAACTCCCCGTTTACTGTAACAGTTATAAGTTGGGGATTTAAATGCCAACCTAAGCTTCTCCACAGAATTAATATACATAGATATACAAATCAGTGTCAAAACGTTCACAATAATAACTTAAATATATATATATCAAAAAATTGTTCGTTACAACTCCTTGTCGTTACCATTACGTCATGATGAAAAATGCGTGGGGCCATAACTCCTAAATCATGTTTGTTTTTTAATTTTGCGCAAAGCCACAAGAGGGCTATCTGCGCTAGCCGTCCCTAATTTTGCAGTGTAAGACTAGAGGGAAGACAGCTATTCATCACCACCCACCGCCAACTCTTGGGCTACTCTTTTACCAACAAACAGTGGGATTGACCGTCACATTATAACGCCCCCACGGCTGAAAGGGTGAGCATGTTTGGTGTTACGGGGATTCGAACCCGCGACCCTCAGATTGCGAGTCGGGCGCCTTAACCACCTGGCCATGCAGGGCTCATAGCTCCTAAAATCGTTGGAGATATTCCATCTATCAGACACGATCCAAACGCAATGTCGAATTAGTTAGCAGCCATGAAGAATCAGTTAGGGGTGTTAGGACTCCAGTGTTTAAGCCCACAACTTCTCAGCTCCTACTGACTTTCGCTGTCTTCAGATGTGGGGAGTCCCCACCAATCTTTAGACAAGAAAAGAGCTATTAACATCTGCGTTTGGATCAATGTTTGGTAGATGGTATATGACCAGCGCTTTTGAGAGCTATGGCCAAAGTCATTTTCCGTTACGATGTAATCGTACCAAGAGCTGGTAATGGACAGATTTTTACGTTTCTTTTTACGTCTTATTGTGAATGTTTTGCCTTACATTGTATTAATTTCATTATTGTCTTATAGTGATGATTTGATCGTCTATTTATAATCAATGTAATTTGTAGTACTAAAACTAGTCACGAAATTGTATCCCGTTTAACCTAGAAATCAAATTTCCATGGGAAGCTCCCCTGGTGTCATAACGACACACTGCTTTCTAGTTACAGTAGGCTTAGCGATTATTTACTAACAAGAATGAATTTTATTAATCTGGTTTACCCAATAATAATATCCTAGTAAACCAGTTATTCCTATAATAACACAAGTTTTCCCTCTCGTAGAAACTGTAACACTGAAAACTTCTAATGAATGATATACAGAGCTTAACTGTACGTTGCAACAGTCCTAGAGTGAGTAGTTGACGTCACAACAGTCCTAGAGTGAGTAGTTGACGTCACAACAGTCCTAGAGTGAGTAGTTGACGTCACAACAGTCCTAGAGTGAGTAGTTGGCGTCACAACAGTCCTAGAGTGAGTAGTTGGCGTCACAACAGTCCTAGAGTGAGTAGTTGGCGTCACAACAGTCCTAGAGTGAGTAGTTGGACGTCACAACAGT